TCTGTTTCTTAGGTATATCATTTTAGACAGTAATTTCATCTGAGACTTCTGCTTAAGAACTGCTAGCATATTGTGTTTGTTTGTATGTTTGTTTTTTCCATGAACATCACAACAAAGCAATTTATAAAGGTTAACTTTAAAAAATAAGTAGCAACAACTGTCTGTATTATACTTGGAGTGCGCTCTTCCCTCTATTTCCAAAGTGATGGCACTCAATTCATACTGTACCCAGAAATAGATTCATTTTACCAAAATAGACAGGGGTACTAAATTGTTTCTGAGTTTCTCCTGTCAATAAAAGTAAGGGACAGGCAACTCAACCCAAGCAGGGCAATAAGCACTTTTAAAATGCTAACGGTGCTACTGTCATGTAACATGTCAAGGTTAGAAAACATAACAATGTGGTGATAGGAAAAAGTGAAGAAACTTCTCTTTCATGAGAATAGTGATTGTTTATGGCAGGGATCGGCAACCTTTGGCACGCAGCTCGCCAGGGTAAGTACCCTGGCGGGCCGGGCCGGTTTGTTTACCAGCCGCATCTGCAGGTTCAGCCCATCGTAGCTCCCAGGCCAATGGGGGCTGCGGGAAGCGGCGTGGGCTGAGGGATGTGCTGGCCGCCACTTCCCACCACCCCCGTTAGCCTGGAGCGGCAAACTGCGGCCAGTGGGAACTGCAATTAACCAAGCCTGTGGATGCAGCAGGTAAACAGAACCGCCCTGCCCGCCAGGTGCTTACCCTGGCGAGCCGCGTGCCAAAGGTTGCCGATCACTGGTTTATGGGAACAAAGATGGTTTAAAAGATAATCCAAGGACCTGATTCACAGCTTCATTACTTCAGTTTTACATCAGTATAACTTCAGGGAAATCAACCGAGTTTCACTGGTATAAAACTATAATGTAATAGCAATGAATCTGAGTAGTCCCATTAAATGTATGAGTGTTGTAGTAACTGTGTCAGTCCCAGGATATTAAAGAGACAAGGTGGGTGAGGTAATATCTTTTATTGGACCAAATTCTGTTGGTGAACGAGACAAGCTTTCAAGCCTCACAGAGCTTGAAGTATCTTTCACAGACCAGAGAAGAGCGCTATGTGACTCAAAAGCTTGTCTCTCTCACCAACACAAGTTGGTCCAATAAAAGATATTACCTCACCCACCTTATCTCTCTAGTCCCATTAAAGTCAATTAAGTGCTTGCAGGATCAGGGCCTTAGAGGACAAAATGAAACAGGATAATCTTATTATGGCATTTGCCTTTACAGTAAGAAATGACAGAAAAATACAGAAACATCTACTTAAGGATTTTTTAAAATGGTAATTGTCAAGGACAAGTATCATAGGGGTAGACGTGTTAGTCTGTATCCACAAAAACAATGAGGAGTTCGGTGGCACCTTAAAGACTAACAGATTTATTTGGGCCTCAGCTTTCGTGGGTAAAAAACCCACTTATTCAGATGCATCCTACAAAAGCTTAGGCCTAAATAAATCTGTTAGTCTTTAAGGTGCCACCGGACTCCTCATTGTTTTTGCCAAGGACATACATTCAAAGCATAATCACCTTGCTCTGGCAATAATATATCACAGCAGGAAAGAAAGATTAAATATTAAAGCTTTAGTCACAAAAAGGAACAAAAGCAAAGCAATGTAAAGCTAGAGATAACATTAATCATATTTAGGGAAAGTTTGTTACATATCATTAAAAAATAAAGCCATTTTTAAAAAAAATGTATAAAAAGGATCACAACAGGTAATCATCAAAAACAGAAGTCGTTGCATTCCAAAAGAGCAATCAAATGTATTAACAACTTGTCCTCCACTCACTAATATTATTGTAAAAGAAATTCATGTACTTCAAACACTAAGGATCAAACCCAAATCCCAGTGCCTGGCATGAGACGCTGACCAAGATGACAAGCAGGAGGAGAATCCTCAAGTACAGACCGCAGATCTACTCTGTGACCCCTTGATGACAGCCCAGCCATTTCCACTGCCTCTTGGAGCGTGCACCGGCTGTACTGCCCCCGGCTTTTCCATTTTCCACAGAAGAATTGCACCAGTTTCATTACTTAGGGGACTTCTGTGACTACAGAGGAGGGAGTTGGATTTGCCCCTACAAGAACAATATTGAAGAAGCAGCAGCAGATTTCTTCCTTGTGCTGAATATTGAAGAATTTAGGGAATTAAAGTCCCCAAGCAGGCTCATGATGTTGTCATGAATTTGTGCATTTTCACAAATGTACTTACAGTATTATATCGGTGTGTCACAATTACAGTACATTCTACTAACTTTAAACTCAGCTAGTTTGTGTTTTTTAAGACCGCTCTTGTCCCTGCTTTATATGCTGAAATGCAAAACATAGGCCCTTATCCTACAAACACTTAGGCATAAGCTTAACTTTACTCACATAAACACTAAGGATGAAATCCTTGCCCTTTGGAACCTAATGGGAGTTTTGCCAATGATGTCAATGCGGCCAAAATTTCATCCTAAATGGTAGGTCTACACTAGAGCTGGAGGTGTAATTTCCAGCTCATGCAGACATACCCACACTAGATCTGATTCAGCGAGCATGCTACACAGAGAAGCATGGCCACAGCAGCATGAGTGGCAGAAGGGCTAGCTACCCGAGTATGTACTTATGGTCTTGGATGGCATCAGAGGATACCCATCCAACCACTCGCAGCTATTCTATTTTTAGTGTGCTGTCTCAATCAGAACTAGTTAGTGCAGGTATGTCTACTCAGGCTGGAAATTATACTTTCCAGCTCCAGTGTAGACATTCCCATACGGTTTGCAAAATCAGGGTCTTAAAATTTGGAGCCCAATCCTGCATTCCATATGCAAGTAATGAAGGATCAGGCCTACTATTTTGACTTCCTAAAGAGTTGGAAGGCTAATACTGTTTAATATCTAAATACAATAATCTGCCTTTCCTAAAACTATATAATGCCCAATGCTTCTAACACTTCTCATATGCAGTTCTTACTCAGACTGCTGATTTTATTAAGCTCAATGGTATTACTTACATGAGGAAGTACTTATTTCAGTAAGGGTTTGTATGATTGCCCGATACACGAGTCACAAAATGGCCCATTCAGAGCCAAAGACAAGGAACCCAACCAAATACTTCACTGTGGACAATGTGAAAATGTAAATTAGTTTCAGCACTACAGTTTTCTTGAGATCTGTTTAAACAAGAGGATTTCTTTAAAAATCTTAATCAGGATGAGGGCCCTGTTGTGTTACATGCTGTACAAACTTATTAGCGGATGTGGTGCCTGCCCAAAAGAATTTACAATCTAATCTAGAGTTCATCATTTCGCATTACATTGCTGTGAGAACACATCTTAGACATAAAAACATTGCTTTGGATTTCACATCACTAAACACAACAGAAGTATATGAGTTGTAGACCAGATATTACATTGTTATTGGTTACTGATTAAGGGATGATACTTATATGGAAAAATCTGAACATATTGATGTAATTTAGCAAATAACCCCCCTTCGATTTTCTATTATTTACTTTACAGTCAATATCTTTGGTTTTGTTTTGTATAAAAAAAAATATAAAATGTCTCCCCTCCTCCCATCCCCGATCTGTAATCTTCCATGTAGCTGAATTTGTACATTAAAAAAAGCACAAGACAGGACAATCGATTTGATGACAGTCCAGTTGAAAAACATTAACCTTGCAGATAAAGGACAAACAACATATTAAATCAGCAACATGCAAAACAGTTTCTTTATTTCCATAATAAGTTTAGAGCAGGGGTGGGCAACCTATGGCCCGTGGGCCGGATCTGGCCCGTCAGGGCTTTGGATCCGGCCCACGGGATTGCCACCCCTGTGGCGCTGCAGGCCCTGCGCCACTCCCAGAAGCGTCTGGCACCACGTCCCTGTGGTCCCTGGGGTGGGGGCAGCGCGCAGAGCCCTCTGCCCTCCCTCCCCCAGGGGCCGCAGGGAGGTGGTGCCAGCCGCTTCCGGGAGCAGCGCGGGGCCAGGGCAGGCAGGGAGCCTGCCTTAGCACCACTGCATGTCACTACCACCCTGGAGCCACTCAAGGAGAGCAGCGCCAGGCCGGAGTCCACACCCTGAACCCCTCCTGCACCCCAACACCCTGCCCTGAACCCCCTCGTACACCCTGCACCCCCTCCCACACCCCACACTCCCTCCCACACCCCAAGCCCCACCTCGGCTCTACATTCATGGCCCTGCACGCAATTTCCCCACCCAGATGTGGCCTTCGGGCCAAAAAGTTTGCCCACCCCTGAGTTAGAGGAAATGACCTTCAATGTTGGTGAAAATAATTACAAATATAAAGAAGTTTTCTTTAATGTGCCCCTTTAAAAAACTAAGATTAGCTGAATCATTGAAACAAAAAACAAGAGCCATCACTATTCACACAACAGAGATGCTATCTTCCTGCTTCTCCTAAACATGTCACTGAACTTAACGTTTTCACCTGACAAAGATATAAAAAGCAACTCCATCTCTGCTTTCCCTCTCACCCTTTCCTTTTTACAAATAGTCTGGAATGGACCCAGTGTAGTCTTTCCTCAGGCAACATTTCTAGTGCAGTCAATCAATAGGAGTTTTGCTTGAATCAGGACTGCAGTATTGGTGACCCTGCTGAAATCTAATGTTATCTGAAGGAAGCTTGAGTCAATTTGGAAATAAAACCCACTAAGAAGCCTGCACTGTTATTATATGCAATTAGTAACTCTATGTCCAGTAGATAACAAGACAATGGGTCAAGGTTAAATGAATACAACTAAGCTAAATTTGAAGTTTCTTTGATTTTTTTTTTAAATCACTGCTAAGGACAATTCCCTTTTACTTTGCACCTTTTCAGACTACACACAGACAAAAACTAATTTTGTCAACTATCTTAAAGCTGATAACTTAACACACAACAAGAAACATGAGGAAAACCAGACAAAACATCCAGAGCAACAAACATAAGATGAATGTGACCGTAGACAATGGTTTCAAAACTCACTGTTTGCTTTGTTTTCTTTTTAACTGGTGCTGCTGCCCTTCAGCCAGTAGTTTTCATTCCTAGGCACACAAACAGGCATTGGAATCCTGCACTGAAAGGAAAGGATGAGGAAAAAGCATGCTCAATAAGTCTCCTCCTTAACAAGGATCAATGTATTAAACAGCATTATAGATTATTAAAAAATAATCAGTACAGAAAAATCTAATACAAGTAATGCGCCAGTAATAAATCACAACCATAAATAGCAATGACAAGCAGAACAATGAAAAACATAAATTATAAGGAATACTGTAACGCCATGGCTGATAAATAACTGCAGATGGTAATAAAGGAAGTACAACAAAAAGGTAGCAGCAATAATAATCACATCAATAATTACTTATTACTAATTATGATAAAGCTAACCCTACAGCAGTAGTGATAAGGACTATTCTAGCATCATCCATAACTATTCAGCGACACCACTAACTATGGAAATGCTGACTAGGAAGCAAATGAAGCCTGCAATAACAAATGAATCTAGACGAGCCCATGCTAATTACGAGTGTGTCATATATATAAACTCAATATTATTAATTATCTTCACCACCCCTGTAGTGCAATGCTGCTGCACGTGGGTCCAGCGCCGCCTCCTGTTTGCCTCCCCACCTTGGCCACTAGCACCTTGCAGATGAGCTGCACCACACCTGCCCAAGCTCAAGCGCGCGCGCCGCGCGGCGGAGGAGCCCCTGGTGGGAGCGCGCCAACCTCTCTCGCTCTCTTTCCCCCCGCTCTGGAGGAATACGCGGGAACGCGCATTCGCGCTCTTTTTCTCTCGCCGCGCGGGCTGGCGAGAACGAGGCTCCCCTGGGGGTTGCTAGGGCCCGTCTCCAAGGACGCCTGGGGCAGCCTAGGAGGCATGTGAGGCCTGCGGCTGCTGCTGCTGGGCGGAGAGGAGCCCCTTCCCCACCACCCCCGCCTCCTCCTGGTGCTAAAGGGGATGGGCAGAGGCTGCTGTGCGGCTGACTCCCCCTGAGGAGAGGCTGGGGCGCTCAGCCCATGTCACTGCAGGGCTGCAAGAGGCAATGCCAGGCCCCTGGGCTGTAAGGTGCGGCTGGGGCGTGGCTGGGGTCAGGGGGGCAGAGCAGTGTGATTTAGTTGGGGATTAGTCCTGCTTTGAGCAGGGGGTTGAACTAGATGACCTCCTGAGGTCCCTCCCAACCCTGATATTCTATGATTCTATGACAAAGGGATCCTGGATGGATCCCCTCTCGCACACTTCCCCTGGGGGCTGTAATGCTGCCAGCTTGCCAGATTTCTGACAGCCGGGGTTGTTCTTAGAGCCCCAGCAAGCCGGAATTTCAACCTGCTTTGATTCAGTGAAAGTTTCTAGCTCCCCTGGTTGAGGTGGAATCAGAAAACCAGGGCTGAGTGCACCCCCATGGCTCGAAGACCAATAGAAACAACCCTAAATCAATTATTTTTGTCAAATCCCATGATTTTTAAGCCAATCTCATGATTTTTTTTACCACTTGTGGTCAGCAGTGCTGTATTTGGATGAAACAAAGCGTGCGGCTGTCAGAAAATGGCGCAAAATATCGCAACTGTTTGTACAGTGTTTTGAGATCCTTGCACGGAAGGAGCGATAGACATGCAGAGTATTATATTGTTATGTATGTGTGTGTGTGTATACACATATATATAAATCTTCACTTTAATAAAATTAAAATATAGTTTGACTATAGCGGGGATGTTACTGTACCAAAATGTGCTTTTTTTTAAAGGATATGCAGAAATAATGTATTATAGGAAAGAATTTTTTTGGAAGCTGAGTCCAAAATGGGAGAGGAGGGATCGGGGGGATTCTTGGTTACAAAACAAAAGCAAGTATAATGTTGTGTATTACCAGTAGTTTTTGTACAGTAATCTTTATTTGTCCGCAAAAAGAAGAACAGGAGTACTTGTGGCACCTTAGAGACTAACAAATTTGTTAGTCTCTAAGGTGCCACAA